GGCCATTTGGCACCTGGATGAAGGGATTGCCCCCTCCCTGCTGAGATTCGTTCAGCCCCTCCAGTCTGGCAGGAAGGGGGCAGGCAAAATGGTAATATTTTAATTCTATCAATCATGTCTTTTACATTTATAAATTAGAATGCTTTCCCTCTTCTGTTATTTGGTTGCAAATACAGTTTGGCTCTCTGGCTCTCTGGTGTAGTTAGGAAACATAATGTTCGATTTTATTTTTTCATTTGTTCCTTCTACTTCATCTTCTTCTCCTCCCCCCCTTCTCCCCTTCCTCTTCCTCCTTCCTCTTCCTCTTCTTCCTCCTCTTCTTTTTCTCCTCACTCCTCCCCCTTCCTCTTCTCCCTTCCTCCTCTTCTTCTTCTTCATTTTATTAAATTTATTGGAGCGACAGTACCTGAATTTGGATCCTTAACATCATGATGCCCAAGAACGTTTTAAATAAATGATTGAATGTGACTATTATAATCCCTTTGTAAGTTTTTTCTACAGGCTAAACTTTCCAAAATCCTTCAACAGTTTTCTATACATCTTAGCTTCCAAGCCTTTGTTATCTTGATTGCTAAACCATATATATAATAATTTGTTAGTGTTTCTTTTAACATGACCACTTAAAAGGAGGCAGCTCCATATCAATTGATATGGAATGATCTCCAAGATACATTCTAAGTAGGAAAAAAGCAAAATATATACTATACAGTATGTCTTTACTAAACTCTACCAATGCAGGCATGCAAAAAGTATATTACTTTTCTTTCATCTATTGTTTCAAACAAAGACTAATTAATAGTACTAAACAGCATAATTTAGTCTCTCTTGTAACAACCACGGAATCTGATTCTCAATATGAAAATCAGTGACTTTTAAGTTATCTTTCTGCCTTTCTCTTGTATATGATTGAGTTAACTTTTTAGTTCACAAAGCTATCTTTAGCGGTAGCTACAGCTTATACCCTAAACATTGCAAACCAATTATTTTTTGTTGTTATTCAGAAGAACAAGTAGACAGATGGCCTAGAGAAAGTCATTTCTACTGTAGCCAGTATTACCCAGCAGATAGTTGTAGTATAATGTAAAATGCCTTTGATTTAAGACTTATAACTAAGTCTCGAGGCTGCTAAGGGGTTGAAAATCTCCTTAATGTGTTTGCCCCATCCCATATCTTTTGATAAAATCTACTCTAAATCAGTATTCAGGTTTTAATGAAAGTTAGCATTAGAAGGAATCCTGTCATGTATAGTTACAAATTAATCCTTTCTTAGTTACAGTACATCTGGTAGTGTAATTAAAACTATAGTTAAAGGAGCAATATGGAAAAATGACAGAGATTATAGGAACTTTGTTCATCCCATGACTTTTGCAACCACATCAAAGTTATGACGGAAACACAGAACAAACAGCAAGCAGAGTCACCTGGGGTCTAGATGAACAGAAGCCCTACGACTAGGAAGAGAAATAAGAAATCACCCTGCAAAGGTTGGAGGTAGGAGGGGGCGAAGACATGGGACAGAGGCTATGGCTGCTGCAGTCGTTCCTCTTAAAGGAGCCGTGTCCATGACCGGACTTTTGCAGTGACAGACTCACTTGCTCTGAGCACCAGCTCCAGGTTGGAGCGAGGGCCAGAGGCGAGGCTTTCTTCTGGGCAGAAGTACTGGTGGTATCCATTGTTCTTCTGTTGAACCCTCCCTATCCCAATGTGCGGATGCAGGGCCGCCATGGCTGAGACATTATCCAACTAGAAAAGTTGCACCGCCCAGATCATTCCCTGAAACTCTGCCTCCCCCAACTCACATCTCTACCCAAGTCACATCCAATTATGTCCTTGATAAGTCCTGTGCCATTTGCTGATCAGCACCAAGAGTCACACTGGTGGCCCCAGAAGGGTGGGGCTAAACTTGGCCTGCAACTGAACTCCTCTCAGGACTGTGCTGCTGGGCACTTAGTACACAAGGCCATGCAGTAAGACCGGGAGACTTAGGGACTTTGCTTAGTACATAGAAACAGACATGGAAAGGCAGCCAGAATGGGAAGACAAAGAAGCAGAAACCATATGAGAAAACAGAACAGAGATCCAAGAATAATGGAGTCAAGCAATATAACAGATGCAGAGTTCAAAACACTGGTTATAAACATGCTCAGTGAAATTAAGGGAGGTGTAGAAGAACTCAGTGAGAATTTGAACAAAGAGATAAAATACATAAAAATGGAAATGGAAATTATAAAAGGGAACCAGTCAGAAATGAAGAATACATTATCTGGGGTGGCTCCATAGTGTAGTGGTTAGCATGTCTGCTTTACAGGCAGAAGGTCCTGGGTTTGCACCCCAGGTGGCACCACGGACCATACCCCCAGTGCACCAGGCCCCGGGGGCGCCAGGCCTCAGGGGCACACAGGAAGAGACGCCCTGCCTTCAGAGATCCAGTTCTTAAGGGGAGATGGCAACATCTGTAGGTCAGGGGTGGGAGTGGAGGGAAGGATTAAAGGGGGGGAAAAAAGAGAATACATTATCTGAGATGAAGAGTATATTAGAGAGAATCAACAGAGTAGATAAAGAAGAGGATCGAGTCACTGATACAGAGGATGGAAAAGCCAAGGACACCCAATCAGAATGGCAAGAAAAGAGTAACCAAGAATATAATAGTAATTTAAGAAGCCTGTGGGAGAAAATTAAGGGTAACATCATCCGTGTCATTGGGGTACCTGAAGAAAGAGAACAAGAAGTCAAATATATATTTGAAGAAATAATAATGGAAAACTTCCCTAACCTGGTGAAGGAAATAGACATACAACCACAGGAAGTTCAGAGTTCCCCCTTCAAAAAAAAAAAAAAAAAAAAAACCCAAAAAAGCCCACACCAAGACACATCATAATTAAAATGCCAAGGTTAACTACAAGCAGAGATTCTTCAAAGCAGCAAGAGAAAAGCAATTAGTTACCTACAAGGGAGCGCCCATAAGAGTGGCAACTGATTTCTCAAAAGAAACTTTGCAGAACAGAAGGGCTTGGCACAAAATATTCGACGTGATGAAAACCCAGGATCTACAATCAAGAATACTTTATCCTGCAAAGCTATCATTTAGAGTCTAAGGACAGATGAAGAGCTTCCCAGACAAAAATAAGCTAAAGAAATTCATCAGCACCAAGCCAGTATTACAGAAATTTTTAGAGTGACTGCTTTAAGAAGAAAAAACATGTATCAAAAACATGAATAAAAAATGGTAATAACTACATTCCTATCAACAAGTACCTCAAATAGAAAAGAATTAAGTGCTCCAACCGAAAGATAGGGAAGCTGAATGGATAAGAAAACAAAACCCCTACATATGTGTTGCCTACAAGAGACTCACTTCAGATTAAAAGACACACATGGACTAAAAAGAAGGGGTAAAAGATATTGCGTTGAAGGACCTAGAGGGAATGGTGCTGAATGAAGTAAGTCAGATAAAGAAAGACAAATACTACATGATTTCACATACATGTGGAATCTAAAGAACAAAATAAACAACAACAAAAAGATGGAAACAAACTCATAGATACAGAGATTATTTTGAGGGCTACTAGATGGGACGGGGTATTGGGGAGCTGGTGAAAAAAGGCAAAGAGATTAAGAAGTACAAATGGATAGATACAAAATAGTCATGGGGACATAAAGTGCAGCATAAGGAATATAGTCAACAATATTGTAAAAAATATGTAAGGGGGAAGAGGGGTACTAGATTTAGTGGAGTGACCACTTCATGAGTTATATAGATCTCTAATCATTATGCTATACAACTGAAATTAATATATTATTGTATACCAGTTAAAATTGGGGGAAAAACGCATTGAATTGTTCAATGTGAATATGAACAATTGTGTATTATACTTCAATAAAACTGAGAGGAAAAAGACTATAGTTAAACAGCTGTTGTCAGTGACCTCAAAGTGACCATCTAGCTAGGACTGACAGTTACAGTAATCACTATGTCAGTATGGCAAATTAAAAACATTAATAATCTTTTTCTTAGTGAATTACTTTATAGACGTTGAACCGATGGGTTTTTAGTTTCAATTGCCTTGACACATTTTCTAACCAGTTATTTATAAGATACTATTTATATTGATTATCACAACATATAAAATTTAAGTATGAGAGAAATCTCTTCACCAAAGTATTATGTAATTGGTATTTTGGTGAAAAATATTTCTCTCATATCTAAATTTTTAAAGAATATTATGCAGAAATTATAGTATTTTATATATTCCATGCACAGAAGGGGGGCTTGGATTCCAGATTTAAAAAAATGTGTATTCATATTAACATTATGCTCTTTTAGTTAAATGTAAGCCTTATTTGATTTTGTTCCTATTCAAATATTTGCTTGTGTTCTTCCCAACTCTGCCCTTTTCTAAATATGTGTATATAAATGATCTCTGGCAGTTTTTATTAAAGTCAAAAGTAAAAGTCTTACTGTTTCAGACCTGTTAAAAATTGAGCTTTCATGATATGTGATTTTATTTTTTATGCTATTATTTAATATACTTTGTGTTTGAAAGACTGTTAGCAGTTCAGATCTCTGAAACTCCAAGTCTGTTGGTTTTAGGATTCAAGAAATTACATAGAAGTTAAAACTTAAAATCAATCCCTTTTTAAAAACTTGGCATTTAAGAACCTATAGCTTACCCATACATATGGCATTATACTTTGTTACTGAGACCTTTTGAATTCTCATATGACATTTTTCAGTTTTGCTAGCTTTCAGTGATTTAAGAAATTAGAAAATTTTTCAAAAAAAATGTAAACAAAAGTTACACAAACATTGCCTCACATGGACTATGAATGGCATATTGAAAGAAAGAGCCTCAAAAGATTTTTAAATTCAAGTTTGTTTCTAATATAAAAAAACAAGTTATAGAAAAAAATGATATAATAAAATTTCCCAAAAAATGAGATACAAAATATGAAAATGAGAATTGCTTAATATTAATCTTCTCTGAATTTCTGATTTTTAGGTAATGGAATATGAGAATAGAATTCGAGCATATTCCACACCTGACAAAATCTTCCGATATTTTGCCACCTTGAAAATAATCAATGAGCCTGGTGAATCTGAAGTGTTTATGACTCCACAAGATTTTGTGCGATCCATAACACCTAATGAAAAACAACCAGAAAGTAAGTTGCTAAAGTGAAAAATAATATGTGATATTTATTTTGTTTTATGCTACTTTGTTTCTTTCTGTGTATTGCCTAAACTTTATAGATTCATGCAATAATTCTATTCACCTGTGTAGCTACTGACCATCAGGTATTATGATAGGATTTAGGAGTACAGAAGAGGAGCCTGCAGTCTAAGCGGCAGTCCTCAATCAGGGAAAAGAGTTGAGGAAGTTCTACTCCTATGGCAGAGAGATTCATTGTCTGCAATGAGAATATTCCTGAAAGCAGTGCATTACATGTGACTGCCATCAAGTTACTCTTTAGTGAGGAAGACAGAGACAGTAACATAATTTCAACAATGTAGTGATTTGTTAAAGAACAAAGGTGCTGTGGCAATATAAGGAAGAGGCAGTTCGCCAAATCTGAAAGTTTGGGGAATGGATTCTAGAGAATACATCTAAGTTTGGATAAAAGACAAAGAATAGTGGAAAAGATGTTTCATGAATAAGAAACAGCCTGAACAAATGAGATATGAGGGAATAAAATAAATGGTTTAATATTATAAGTTAAATGTAACAATTTGCAAATTATATGGGAGACATGATGGCAAAAATGACAGTAAAGAGTTCCAAGAATTAATCCTTCCACTGAAGCAATCATTAAGCTGCCAGAAATGGGCAGAAGCAGCTTTTTTGGAACTCTAGAATCTAATTAAAAAAAAAATTTACAGCTGCTAAATTTTGATAAGAAAGTATTATGTGGCCTATTACTTACCTGCCTACTACACTATTTCCCAGCTCAGCAGCAGCCTTGGGGATAGCAGCACACATTCCTAATTTGGCTTACTGGTGATGGGGAGTTTAGTGGTAGGGATAGGGGCAATATAGACTTTATTCTCAAAAAATCGTGGTTGTGCATTTTGATTCATCTGGCAGCTCCCTGAGGGACCAGCACCAAGGCTTTCCTTTTTTGTCACCTACCTCAAGCTGAACTGGCTTCCCAGGTGTTATGTACTGAAAAAAATTAAAAAACATATACTGCCTGTAGTTGGTGGGCCAAGAGAGGGCAGATGGGACAATAGCACACAGATTGAAAATCCTAAGAAGGCAGAAGTTGAAGACAAAAACATTTCAGGAAATAAGAACTTAGAAGGGCTACCGCATATACAGTGATATCCAAAGTGCAGTGTGCGTGCTCAGGGCCAAATACATCTTTAGAAAGGACTTGAGTGGGCTTGAACTTCTTACTCCAGATTTTTGTGCTCCATGCAAAAAGGAGTTGAAAATTAAGGCAAAGTTGTAGGAGAGCTAGCTAAATATTAAAGAAGTACCCCAGCTAGAGCCAGTCTGCATACACTAGGAGAGTTGGGGTGTTTTCTGTTTTGTTTTGTTTTCATTTCTTTTTGCCTACAGCATTTAAGGAAATCTCTCTCAGATCACTTGCTGACTGCTTAGGTAATAGAACAGAAACTTCAATGACAACACATTGACAAGGAGTACAGTCTTGCAAAAATAGTTTGAAAAAATCACTAAGCAGAGTGATGACAATAGTCCTCAACAAATTACAACATCACATCCTGGGAAGCAGGAAGAATTTGATTTTATAGTTACCACATTGTAATATTCAAAATGTCCAATTATCAATACAAAAAATTGCATGGCGTACCAATAATTAGGAATGTATGACCCATTAACAGAAAAAAAAAATTGACAGAAACCATTCCGAGGAAAGCCTAAGGCATTGCACTTACTTTACAAAGAGTTTAAATCAACTATTTTAAATATGCTCAAAGAACTAGAGGAAACAGACAAATAACTGTAGGGAACAAGGAGACAGTGTATTAATAAAAAGAATATCCATAAAAAATAGAATATTTTTAAAAAGGAACCAAATAGAAATTCTTTAACTGAAAAGTACAGTAGCTGAAATTAAAAAATTAACTAGAAGAGTTCAACATCAGATTTGAGCAGGCAGATAAAGAATCAGAGAACTTGAAGATAGGTCAATTGATATTATCGAATCTGAGGAGCAAAAAGCAAAAAATATGAATAAAAGTGAACAGAGCCTAAGATACCTGTGGGACACCATCAAGTGTACTAACATGCATAATGGGAGTCCCCGAAGGAGAAATTAAGACATTACCAAATGATCTAAGGAGGAAGGTTGTTGCTAATAGACCTTCTCTTTAAGTTGAAATGAAAGAATACTAGACAGTAACTCAAAGCCATACAAAGAAATTTTAAAATAATGAAGACCAGTGAAAGTAACTACATAGGGTAATGTAAAAACCAGTATTGTTTTATTTTTGGTTTGTAATTCCTTTTTGTTTCCTAGATGATTTAAAAGATAAGTTCATAAAAGAAGTCAGTTTCTTAACTTTATACCTTATAGAAATTAAAAAAGAAGAGCAAACAAAACCCAAAAAGATTGGAATATTCACTTCTTTTTTGTGAAGCTTCTCATGCATATAAAAATGTTAATAAAATTTGTATGCCTGTTAAAAAACAAAAATAGCTGAAATAAGGAAATAATAAAAGTTAAAGCAGAGATAAATGAAATGGAAAATAGAAAAACAATAGAATCAATGAAACCGAAAATTGGTTCTTAGAAAAGATCAATAAAATTGAGAAACCTTTATCTAGGCCAGTTAAGAAAATATCAGAGGTGGAAGTAGGGACATTATTACCTACTTTATGAAAACTAAAAGGGATTATGAGAGAATACCATGAACAACTGTATTCCAACAAATTAGCTAGGTGAAATAGATAAATTCGTAGAAACACACAAACTACCAGAAGTGAAAAAGAACTCTTAGAACTCAACAAAAGACAAAAAAAAAACAATTAACAAATGGACAAAGCACTTGAATAAACATTTCTCCAAATGAGATATACAAATAGCCAATAAACATGAAAAAATGAAAAGCATATTCTGCCTTTATGACTGTAATATCGTCTTATTTTTAAAATTTCCTTCTGTTTCCTTACATCTTTCTTTTGCAATCAATGGTTTATTTTGTTCAGGGCAGGCTTCTAGAAGATGAAACACATTTTAGATAAGGAGAATGTGTAACTAAATGTGTAGAAGCAGAAATGCAAAAAACTTCCTCGGGGAGCGATGATAATTTGATCATTGTAATACTGTGGGCATAGTTAAGATAAGGGCCTGAACTAGCAGGAATACAATGAGTACTCAAAGAAAAGAACTGAGTAATTATGCAAGAAAAATAAATATAATTGGGAACTGATTTCCCCACTCTAAAAACTCCCAAAGCACCCTTTTACTGAATTAATCGTATGCTACCTTGTAATGTTAATTATTACATGCATATGTCTAACTAAACTGTGATTCTTCAAGGCAGGAATTGTATCTTACTCATTCTTTAATAGACATTTATTGATCAAGCACTATTCCAAGCGCTGGGGTAAAGCAGTGGGCAAGTACAAAGAATCCCTGCCCTCAAGGGCACTTAATGTATTTATTTACATCTTTCACAGCACTTAGAATTCAATGCTAGGTAGTCCCAAGGTAATATTTATTATTTAACCCAATTTTAAAAGGTAATATCTGTTTAGGTGTGTTGCAAACATTTATTTTGATATTAAACTCTTATCTCTTTAACTTGATACAAAAATTATTATGTATTCAGATTGAACTAATATCCCCCACCTCATTTAGAGATAATTAGCATTAGCACCTAATGTAATGAAGAGAGCACCTCCTTGGGAAGAGTCTAGGGTTCTAGTGTGGCTCTGCTGTGGAATAGGTTTGCACATGAGCTTTTACCCTCTTTTTCCTCTCAGGGCCTCACTTCTCATATGTGAAATAAAAAGTTAGTACTTTTTAGCACTGACACTTTGAGTCTGAAAGTACGACAAAATTTTCATTCCTGTGGCTTTTGAATAATGGTGCGGCTAAACCATCTTTTACATTTAATTGAATGATGAAAAACAAAACTAATAATTGTCATTTTATGTTTCATTTGAGTTATAATCAGTTATAAATATTTACATGTATTTATATATAAATATATAATATATAAATATATTTACATATATAACATATAAAAATATATTTACATATATGTAAAAACATGTATATGTAAATATATATAAATATTTGAGTTATAAATATACTTTTTTTCTTTTTCAGACTTGGGCCTGGATCAGTATATAATAAAACGATTTGATGGGAAGGTGAGTAAACGACATTTAGATATATATCCTGCTTATTAAGAATGTTTTAAAATTCCTCTAGAATTATTTTGTGAGAGATTTCTGAGTGCCTGTCTATCTTATCAAAAAAGTATGTCGCTTAGGTTGGGAGGCCTGTAAATGCCTTCAGATGCTTCTACAAGAGAAGGTTCTGCTTAATTCTCGAATTTTTCCATGCAAAGAAATACTCATGGGTTGTCTGCTGATCATATTGAGACTAATTCAGTGTATATTGACATTTGAGTTTTAATTCAAAAGCCATAATGAAAGTTAATAAGCCCCCTAATAGTACATTTAGTATAAAAACACCTGTCCTATTTGACCTTTCTCAAACTTTGATAGCATATAGCAGTAATTTTAACTAGAAAATTATAGAAGTCCTTGCGAGTGCTTTTATAATAATTATGAAGACCACCCAAATTGACATAAGTTTGCATTATACTTTCAATTCTTTATTTTATTCCTGAATAAATCATATAATAAGCCATTCTTAAGTATAGAAAATGAAACTTTCCATTTTATTATCTCAAAACAGTTAGTTAAACATGTTTTTCCCTTTCAGGCTGAATTCTACAAAAAGAGAAAGAACACTTTACGCAGGGTCAGAAAGAAAAGTAAATGGTCAATTTTAAAGAGGAGGAAGAAAGAAGAAAGAGCCAGGAATGGCTCTACAAATCCTAAAAAGGAGGAAAACAGAAGGAAAATCATAAAGTGGCTGAAAAAGGCAGGATCACAAAACAGAGTCTAGATGGGTAGAGGTCAGGGTTAGTAGAAACTGATATTACAGGAATATGTCAATCCTACATAATTATGTAAACTCCGTATACTGGTAAGGTGAAGCTGTAAGTGTAGGGTATTTTGCACAAGTGAAAAGAATGAGCGGCTGTCTTAGGAATTGAGAGATCAGCCAAGGCTTCCAGCCTAAAAATTACCTTTCCCATTCAGGTGGCACAGGGCCTCTATCTGTGGGTATTCTCTTTATAAAGTCCCATATTCTAAAAAGAAACAATGATCAAAAAGACGCATTGAACTCGATGTTAGGAGACCTAGATTCAGAGTCCTGGCTCTGCTTTGGGACAACCGCGTCTTCCTTCTGATCCTTGGTGTCTCTGCTTTATGTATGATAAAGCATGATATCCCATGTTAGGGGTTACTTGCAGACACTGATGTCAGGGTCTGATTTCAGAGTCTCTGGCAGGTCGGGCCCCTGTCTTATCTGTTTTTGTGTCACTCAGAGTCCAACATATGCCTGGTACACAGGAGGTGACCAGTAAATGTTTGATGACTTGGAAAAAATCAACTAGTCAATATTCCTTTGAGGTATGACTCACTAAGTAATGTCTTATAGCAAAATCAACTTAACAAATCACTTTTTGGTCACTAAAAGAATCCAGAGTAGCATGAAAATTCAGTCATCTGTTGTACATATGTAAACCTGAAAACAAAGAAGTTGAACATGTGCAAGTTGAACAGCTAAATTACATTTTATAAGGGGATTTTCCATTTTTAGAGATCTCCCAAATATAAAATCCATAATGAAACTTGTGTTTCATACATGCTCTTTAATTTTTTCCTGTTTCAGCCAGTAACTGTCTACTCGATGCTAAAAATTTGCAGCTTTTGGCAAGATTGATGAGCTCCTTCTTTGTTTCAGTTATATTAAATGTATGAGCTCTGCATTTCTTGGTGTTATTTGCATTTTTCTGATATCCACTTATTTTTATAAAATAACAAAAGTAAAATGCAATCAGACATTAAAGTATTTGAGTGCCCACCTTGCCATGGAGGCGTAAATGGCAGTGCTTCTGTCTTTGGAAGGCAGACTTAACAGGTTACATAAATTGCAAATGTTTGTGCACTAAAACATAAAATTCTGAAATCAGAATAGGAAAGACAGGATTTAGGTATGTCAGTGTATTGTGTTTGAAAGTATGATTCATATGAAAAAGAATAGAGGAATGGGAGACTCGTACAAGGAGGTATATGAGCCAGTGACCCTAGCTAGCCAGATTGTCCCCTAGCAAAAGTACACACAGTTTCTCTTTCATCCATGTTATGATGTGCATATTTAATACCTTTGGCCAGATTCTTCACAAAATCCTATTGTAATTTCCATCAAATCTATTCTTGAGGTCTTGTTTTGAAGCAAAAGTTATGCTGCTTAAATAGAATTTTTAAACTGAATTCACCTCTAGTTTATGTCTTTATGAATTGTCTTTTATTTCATATGAAGTTTAAGAAGATAATTTTGATACTGTTTTTAAGCCTAAATATAATGAAGATTGTCAGTTTAGACATTTTCCCAGGGATTTTTGCCATGTGTGAAATCTTTCATTTGATAACTGTTAGACTCAGTGCTTACTCAACTATCTATCTTAATATTGTCCTTTGGATCTTCATGACTCTTTTGTTCTCTCTGTCAGGAAATCTTAATTTTTAAGTAGCAGTTTCTAGAGTATATAATCCTAGAACAGTTATTGAATTGTTGAAAAAACAGATTCGTGTGGTAATTATAGTAAATTTTGCACATGGTGGCCAGAATTTAGTAGAAACCTAACACCCTAGAGGAATTTCCTTTTAAACTTGCTTTCATTTTTAACTGGGTAATTTTCTCTCTCACCCTTTCTGTCTCATTTTTTTTTTTTAACTTAGAAGATAAACTAGTTATGAACTGCTTAGAGAAAGAAATATTGACTCCCATCCTCATATCCCTCATTGTTTTAACTTTTAATACACCATTTAATAAAGTCCATCATTTGACCAGTAGAAAACACTAGCTTATTTTATTGCCTGCTAATTGAATTGCACTTTAGCCATTTGTCATTGAAAGCAAGAACAAATGTAGAAGTAGTATCATTTTCCTGGAGTGTTTTCTCATTTACACTTGAACTTCATACAACCTCCAGAAGAAAAGTAGAAAAGAATGACCCAACTGATATTGACCAATAATTGGATAGTTATTTCTTGCTTTAATACCTGTCGTCTTTTCTCCTATTCTGTTTGACTAGAAAATTCCCTTGAGAAGTGAATGAAACATTCCTGTTTCAACTGATAGCCAGTGAAACTGAATTTGATTAAGTGGCTTTGGAATTTGGGGGAAGATCTGTTTTTCAGAGCCCATCACTTCCTTATGTTAATGTACCCTTACTCTAAGGATACTAGCAATTTCCTTTGTGCAAAAGTCATGAAATACATTATTGTTGGCACTTACATCATTTATGCATTTCAAAATTACTAACACAGGCTGTGTATAAAGAAGCTATAGTCAATGGCCTTTGATTCTAAGAATATATTTTATAAATTAGTGACATTTTAAAAAATATTCGCATTAGGTTTAAAAGTTTAAAAACCTCAAAGCTTAAAGCAGTTAAGATTTTCTCTTAGAGAATATTTAAAAATCAGTATAAATAGTGTATTAGCACTATTTGTAGGTGGTAATATAAAATATGGTCTAGATTTTGTTTTTGTGTAATACGCCATAGGTTTAAAAAAAAAAAACCACACACCCTCCCCCTGCAGTGTCCATGCATTCTCCTTATGACTTGTTAGTGCAGTTATTTTATAAATTTTAGATTATTTCTTTAATGAAAACTATGTTTTTTTCCTGGGTTTAATTTTAATCATCTAATAATTGGTCTATGAAACAAAGCATAATTTCTAAATGGAGCCTTTATATTATATAATCATCAAATATTTCTTTCATGTAATCATTTAGTTTCTGTCTTTATTGGTATGATTTATACCTTTCATTTCCCATTTCTTTTTCTCCTCCTTTTTTTCCTCAGTCTACCAAAGATGGAAATATTGTTTTATATTTTCTGTTTCTATTGCATGTAATAAATGATTTTTTCCAGATCAAATACCACTATGTTTTTTAAAATTACAGTGGAAAACTTCATGATCTAGGTAAAATTGTTTCTTAAGCAAAGAATGCCAATATTCTAGAGTTTTGGTGTAATTCTCTTTTATTCTCTCTTGTAAAAACTTTAAAGTTCACTCTATTTTTTCAGGTAACAGGGAATTGACCATTGAAACTAATTGTTTATTATGATCATTACATCATGTACTTCTTTTTCAGAAAATAGATTTTTTTATTCTTTCCTCCTTATCAAGTTCCCTTTTCCCCCAACCTCTCCTGAATATGTCAGAAATAATGCCTCCGGATTGAATTTTTTCATTATTTATAATTACATTCCCCTTACAGTCTCTCCAATTTGAAAGAATTAATATATAAAGGAGATTATTTCATCTCCTTTATGATACATACCAGAATATTTGGGCACATGGAACAGAAAACACTTTATATCAAATTAAAATGAAAATTGTCCACTTTCAGGTAAAAGAGATAAAAGTATGGTTAAAGCTTAGAAAGGGAAGTACTGATTATAGTCTTTATAACAGAAAAGACAATCAGCAGAAAGATGGGAGCCATAGTTGAAAATCAAAGTTTTAATATAACTAAATGCTTTTAATTGCTTACTATGTGAAAGGTCTTTTAACACTGTTAATAAATGAACCTTAAAATACCATTACCTTTGGGGGAAAGTCTTGGTCCCCCACAGGTAGTGTGAATACACATTTTTCTCTTAGTCTAAGCTTTCTTTATTTGAATTGTGATTATTTGCTTCATATCACAGATAAAATATGAATTTGGAATAAAGTCAAGTATTATTATTATTCTTTGACATACATAGTAAGTTTTATAAGAGATTTCTTGTCTTCTAAGAGTAAGATGTGTTGCAAATCAAGGAAATGTAAATTAGAAGCCAGGGGGAGAACTGAAATTATCATGGGACAGTGTTTAGTGAATCTTTATGTTTATTTGAGCTGCTTTAATTCTGCTCAAATTTATGTAGCAGGTTATGATGTTTTTATGAATTCTGAATTGTTAATTAGGTATGTGCCTCTCCCTCTTCCTCCCTCTCTCTCGACTTCTAGAAACTCAAAATCAGTCAAATCTAGATTCTTGATGAATTGATATGTTTATTCAGGTTTTTCTATTGATAAATATGAAAAAGACAAAATTTTATTGCTTTTGCTCCATGTTTTTTTGTTTTGTTTTCATTTGCCCTATCAATCCCATCTTTAGAGTGTATCATTTGAGTTCTCTTTTATAATAAGGAAATTTTTGCTTTAAAAAAACTATAACTGATTCCAAGAGAATGTATAAAGCATTTCAGTTCCTTGAAGTCTGAACTTCTCCGCAAATATTTTATAGTCATATTATTTTAGGGGACACTAGCCCTTTTTTAAAAACCCTATTAACACATTCACTCATTCTTGTCAGCATTTTATTTTTCCAGTTTAAAGTGAAATCTCTGAATGATAAATGCTTGACTCTATTTGTCTCTTGAGGTAATTATAACCTATAATAATATAAAAAGAATAGTTGAGGATTTTTGAGTGTTATTATGTGTCAAGCACTGTTCTAAGTGCTTATACATAATAACTCGTTTAATCTACACAGCCACTCCTTTAGATAGTTTACTATTTTTATTATTTTACAAACAAAAAGCTAAAGTACAGAAAAGTTAAGTAACTTAACTGTTTTTTTTGAACTAAGATCATTTAGCTAGTAAGTGGTAGAGCAAGGATTACAAATTGGTAGTCTGGCTCCAGAGTTTTTCTAAGAGATTTTCATTTTTGAGTTTGACAACTGTATGTAAATAATTGGTAGCTGTTATAAGTATGCTGAATTCAGTATGAAAAATACATTATAGATTG